TCTCTCTCTCCTCTCTCACTCTCTCTTTAAAAAAAAAAAAAAGTTTCTTGGTTTTTGGTTTTTCACATTAGTGGTTTTAAACTTTCTTTCCTCTAGCTATCAGAGGAAAAACACACAGGGGTAGACTAGCCATCTCTCCCTGCAGCTTCGGGACCCATCCTCCTGAGGCTGTTTCTGCATGCTTGACTTTGCTGCACATCTGCACATGTGAGCTGCTTCCAGCCCTATGACCAGCTCCTCTAGCATACTGTCCTCTGAAGGGTCTCAAAGCCTTTCATCACAGTAGGCCTCCCACAACAGAGAAGCCCATTCCAGGAGCCCCAGTGCCAAGGCTGGGACCAGGAGGACCCTTCCCCATCTACCTTCCTCTAGAAACAGACATCAACTAGTGTGTAAACAAACAAGACTCACAGGGCCAACTCGGAGCACACGGGGTGACCTGGGGAAATCCAGCCAATACTCCTAATTTTACTGTTTACAGCTAGTGTCCACTTTGGTGACTCTTGTACTCAGGCAGACAATTTTAGATTAGAAAGTGACAAGACTTGGGGACCAAGATGGGAGAGAAAGACCAAGAAGGCTTTTTGAAGGTTTGTTTTTGAATTCCTACTATCAAAAGATCTCTTGAACCCTATCTCAGCTGCCTTGAGAAAGTGTGGCCTTACAAAGGCTGTTCAACTCTGGACATCCTGCAATACTCTTTTTTAGTTCTATTTTAAGCAAACAACAGTTTTCCACTTGCGATTTTTGGTTTCACATGGTCTGCCCTGTGGTTTTTAGTCTCTGGAAAAACCAAACACTAAGTCCAAGCCCACCTCTGATCTCCTACGGGGTCCCTGAGCAGAGGGTAGGGCTGGGTGACTGCGCTGTAGCAGAGGTCCACTCCCCACCCTTCCCCCTCCCTCCACAACACCAGGGAATAGCACTCCTCCTGTGCCCAGCCGAGCTCTCAGCCTTTCAAATTACTGCCCATTTGAACAAAGAGACTGCAGACCTGGAGGTGGGACAATAGCCCTCTTAAGGAAGAAGTGAACATTGGCCACATCCTCTGACAGTATCTGTCCCCACAGCTAGAATGGCAGCCTCTGAGACCTGAGTCCAGTGCCTTTCTCCTTTGCTGGCAGAACAATGGAACTTATCCCTTTCAAAATCTTGACCTTGTTGATGGGCATCGGGGACAAGGACGGAGCTTTCAGTACTGGGACCTGTGAAAGCCTAGTGAGAAAGCCTGGCACAATGATGACAACAGTATTTAGCTAGACCAGCTACACTTAGTCCTCAGAACCTGCACGAAAATGAGAGTAGCCGACCTAGCTACAGGAGCTGAAGGGTGCAGAGCCTCAGGAGGCAGAGAACATCTGGAGAGACCCATGCACAGAGGCACCGAGATAAGCAGGTTCCCGTGGGAACCTAGTATGTGGGAACCCCCTCTTCACAGCCCTCATGAAACCACCATCTCTCCCGGTGGCTCTCCTGGAGCAGCCTGCTGGTGGCCTGCCTCTGGCACTGCAGCACCTAGGGACCCCCTCTGCTCCCCAGCAGGACTTCAGCAGCAGCAGCAGCAGCAGCAGCAGCAGCAGCCAGGGGAGGAGCCTTCCGACTCCCTCCCTGGTGGAGGGGAGGCTGGCCAAGGCCTCTTAACGACTGTGCTGAACTTGTGCCATCCTGCACCACCTCCTAGCAGGAGTGGTTACTCCTCTGAATAATGGACAGACACGGCATCAGATGCCTGCATCTGCACAGAATGATAGGGCCACATCCATCTGGGGCACTTTGTTTACTTCCTGATCAAACCAGGGAATCATTCTAAGCATACCCCTCCCTCGGGTTAATGACCAACCAGAGGCACCTTCTTAATGTTCTCCAGCTCRGGGATTACTGTGCCTCACCAATTCCCTGCTTGCATTCAAAATTATTTTGAATACACAAATGCAACTCAGTCTTAAAAAATTCATTTTAGCTCTATTTGCCCCTAGTTCAATGCTCGAACAATAAGACTCTGATCTCTAAAAATGAAGGGGAAAAGGAGTTTATCTGCTATTCTGAATGCATCAAATTCAGAAAACACTCTTGCAAACACTTTCCTGACTTTTGCTCACTGAAAACTGGACTGACAGCAATGTCAAGCCACCAGGGAGCACCCACCAACAGCCTGTTTCACTGACCTGTGATCGCTTTCACCACCATGTCAGACACTTCTGGAATTTCTTCATTGACAGGGACACAAAGCATCTGAGGTGTAACCCAGTGCAGGGCTCTACAAAGAGAGAGACAGTCAAGAGAGTTCCAAGAATGGGAGGTGGTCTTTTGTCTTGCCCTCCCTTCAGCTACAGGAAAGGGGCATCGCTGAGCAATCAGACCATCCTGGGCCCAAGAGCAACACCTCTGCATGCATCAGGAGCTCAATTGACCTAACCAAGTAAAGAGAATGCTAAAACGAGGTGTCTCCTCCACGCCTGTCACAAGAAGAACACGAGACCATTACACTGGGTGAAAGAAGTATTTACTACTGAGACTGGAAAGCACTCTACATGTAGATCTGAGAACAACTGCTGCTCTGCATCCTCAATGTCCTTTACACTCCCCAAGTCCCTACCAAGACTGCTGTGGACCTCTCTACTTGTGTAGCTAATGCTCACCCGAACCTCAGTCTAGCAGCCACTCGCTACGTCTGGCTCCCACCACGGACTCCACCTTCCCCTGGCCCAGCACCGACTGCTTACCTCTGGGTAAAGAGCTACCAGTCCCTTGTGTGGCCCTTGTTTGGGATTCCCAGGGCCCTCTCCTCCACACACATTAGGGCCCAGCCCTGGAACCATTCCCACACCTAGGAGGCCTGTCCCCAAGCGTGCCACCACCAGTGGACTGCAGAGCACTGTGGCTTACTCCACTGGTCCTGAGATTGGGAAAGGAGTGACTGCAGGAACGGCTGAACAGTGGGCACAGAGGTGCGAAGGAAGGTGACACCTGAGGGGGTATTCACAGCCCCTGCCAGACAACAATGCACAGAAACACAAAAACCAGTCCTGTTCCCTGGAAATCTTGGTGATGTGAATCAATTTCAAACACAAATCTGAAACTGCTGGAGTCTGACATACGAGCAAGACTACCCCAGGCCCTTCCTCTGGGGCCACAGCCGTCCTGTGCTCAGGCACAGGCAGGCAGTGTGGCTTTCTCAGTCTCCTGAGGGCTGAAGCACAGGTGCCTTACTTTCGGACAACGTGTTCTTCCAAACAGAAGAAAGCAAGATGAGTACCTGATCCTCTTCTGAATGGCGAGGTCCTTCTTCTCATCGTCTGTGGTTTCTGGGCAGAACACGTGTTTATAGAGGCGCGTCATGATGTACTTTTCAATCTGATCCATTATCTTCTCAACTCTTTCTGGAGGCACTGAAACACACGGTGGATACAAAAAGCTCAAGAGAAGGGCGGACATTTTAAATTAAGAGAACATCTTCACACTATCTGCTACATAACCTCAGCATGGTCATCAGCCAAGGACTTGAATTCCCAAGACCCAGGGACACTGGCCAGCTTCCTTTCATCTCTCGGAGGGTTACTATAACACCACTGAGATCCCCGAGGTACATGTGGGGCAGGTTCTTGGATAGGCGTGTGTGCTGAGTACATCCTAAGGTACAACAGCAAAGCAGGTCAAATTTCAGAAGAATCTTTAAAATCCCAAGTCCATGATTCTCATGTTTTTTTTTTGGTTGCCCGAACTCCCTTAAGGACATCATCATCATCAACAATGAATTACCAAAATGGTGACTCTAAAATGGGGATTCGTTTAGAAAAGCTTTCCAATGGATAAAAGGGCTTCAATCTACTTCCCCTTCACCCACAACAGAGATGGCAACACCTGTTCAGACAACGCTCCACTGCTCTGGTTGTCTTGGAAGGCACTACCAAGTATGAGCCAGTGGCCACGACGTCATGCAGTGGTTCACTGAAGGCTGTGGCCAACCAGCCAGGCTGGCAGAGGAGGAGGGCACTGTCAGGAGGTGGGCGGCAGCCTGTGCCAACACCAGCAACCCTCAATGGCTGGCTAGCACAGTTACCTTTTCCACGGGTCTGCATTCTTTCTGCCACATTCTGGTAAAAATCCTGAGTACACTCTGACTGCTCCTCAATGCTCAGATCCTGAAATAGAGGGAGGAAAAGGCTGCTTGGCAGCTGGACAAAGCACCCAAGCAGAGCTCTCAACCGTGAGAGGTTTCCAAACCAACTCCTTGCACTGGTGCTCATCTGAAAAGTACTTACAAATTATATTCATTCTGCAAGGAACAATAACCTACCCATTCATATTTTATGATGTCATGACCTTTTAATTTTTCACTCTATATACATATTCTTAACATAACTTATGTACATTTTCATCCATCTAATCTACTTAATCATCTTTGATGGCGTAGCCAATTTGTTTAACCATGCTCTATCACTGTGCATTTGGCCTGCTTCCCCCTCCCCTTTTTAAAATATTTTGTTGTTGTTGTTGGAACTTTATTTTTATTAAAATGTGGTACTGAGAATTGAACCCAGTGTTTCACACATGCTAGGTGATTGCCCTACCACTGAGCTACAACCCCAGCTCCCTGCTTCCCTTTTAGTAGTCATGAACAATTTTTTTTTTTTTTTTTTTTTTTTTTTGCTGAGGTGGACAGGGACCAGGGATTGAACTCAGGGGAACTCTCGACCACTGAGTCACATCCCCAGTCCTATTTTGTATTTTATTTATAAATATTTCTATTTATTTAGAGCCAGAGTCTATGCTTAGTGCCTTGCTTTTGCTGAGGCTTACTTTGAACTCCCAAACCTCCTGCCTCAGCCTCCCAAGGTGCTGGGATTACAGCTGTGCACCACTGAGCCCGGCCTATGTACAATTTTTTTGAGACTGTTATCTTTTGAGTTACTTTTTTGTAACTATTCCAAAAGTGGCATTAAATCACCTTGATAGCTCCAAGTATCTACTGCTGGATCCAATCCTCAGAAACCCAATGTGCACTGCCATTAGCCGAGTGCAGTCACTGACTTCACCACACCCCTATAACGTGGGGCTCTGTGATTTTATTTGCTTTTAGTGATTATACAGGTACACTGTGTGTCTACTGTTCACCTTCTCCAATGTCAATGTCAACTTTAAGCTGATGTGAAAAGGGCCTTCCTCACCGCCCATCTACACTCAGCTATTCCCCAACTTTTGCTCTTTCCCACTCTTCAATTTATTTCAGATACTAGCATTGAACTGGTGGTCCCGGCTCAGGATCTGGACACCGACTCTCTCGGTGTCCATGGTGTGCCACCCTGCCGACTCCTGACTGCCCTGCTGCTCAAGGCCTTGTTCCTGGCTTTCCACCTCTCTACACTACTACACTGTTCTCTGTGCAGACTGGCCTCACTCTCACCAGTCCCCTCAGTTCCCCTAGAAAGCACAGCCTTCCAAGTCGGTAAGCCCCATGGCACTTTGGGGTCACTCTGCCTGCAGTCCCATGCTGTCTACATTGGTCATCCACAGAGGAGCCCTGGCTGGCTTAAAATCAATCCTCAGCAGGAAATCCTGGCCTCCCGCCTTGGTGGGTTCGCACACAACGCAGCATTGAGCGCCCCCACTCTCCTCGAGCTCCACTTTACAAGTTACTCCCACTCACCTCCCCTGGCCACTGAAACAGCGCCAGCAGCTCAGCTCAACTTCTCTCCACAGCTGTGATAAGCCTCAATCCTTTCCTCTGAGATGTTCCCGCTTAGCTTCCACAGGAAACTCGCATCTAGAACAGTCTATGCGTAAGCTGGGTCTTTCAGCAGCTGGTAGCAAGACGGGGCTCTGTCTCCCCTTCTCTCCACTTGTCGTACAATTTACTCCTGAAGAACTCACACTGCTTCTGGTATCACTGATTTTTACCAAAATCTCATCTGGTTGTGATAGCTTTCATTTTAGAATACATCTCAAAGGCTACTAGATTTTAGAAGCCTCCTTTCCATGAATTTTTCTTTCCTCCTCTTCACAAAAATTTTATACTTCTATCATTCTGTTTTCCCAAAGATTATTTCCCCCTAAAATTTTCTGAAAATCATATTTCTATCCACTTAGAAAGAAACTTAACACATAAATAGTAAAACTGCCCAACAATGTTATAAAAAGGTTAATAAAATGCTCCCAGAGCCTTCTGTCTAAAGGGGAAGATAAAAAGCCAGCATTCTGCTATTCTATTATCAYCGTAAACAAGAAGGACATGTAACTCTCTCACTTTTTTCTCTTCTGAGACAGGGTCTCACTATGTTGCCCAAGCTGGCTGTGAACTCCTGGGCAGATTCCCCTGCCTCAGCCCCCTGAGCAGCTGGGAATGCAGGTGCTTGCCACCATGCCCAGCTTAACTATGAACAAACTGTAGTCATTCATAGGATTATTACAGTTAACTGGAAACACTTTGACCTTTTCAAGACCTAAGTGTCCTGTTGTACTGATGATAATGGATCACCATCCCCGGTTTTGCACAGTCACTAAAATTTTATGTTATAATTCAGAAAACTTTTTTCTAATAGATCTGATTGTTGCTTATTCCCACCCCCAACCACCCAACTAAAACTCATGGCTAAGAGGGCTTTGTTCACCATTATACCTCAGATCAGTTATCAGAGCCGGGCATGTGGTTAGCTCAACCTTCTCTGAAGGAGTAAATGTGATCCGTTATTATCATCCCCCTTTGTAATACTGTGAAGACACTGGGAAATAACCCTCATCTCTTCCATACAACAGAGGCAATGAGGGCCTTGGCATTGCACTCTTTTCAAGGGTATTTATATAGAGTACTAGGAGGCAGAGAAAGAGGAAAGGGTAGATTGTTTACTGTCCCAATACAATAAAGACAATGATTCCTTTTAGAGCAAAGATCCGGCTGACTCACTGTCCATGTGAAAGATTCAGGATCTAAGTTCAAGGTTCCTCTTCTCTAACGCAACTGTGACTACCAGCATTACCTGTCATCTTTGCATTGCCCGTAGGACTAGTAGGACTCAATACTGAAGGAATTAGTGCAAATGCTGATAATTTGGCTATTGCTATCAGTAATAAACTGGCCTTTTATCTCTGACCCAGGAGACTCATGTCTTCTGCAAGAATCCATGAAACCATGGCTGGCTCAGTAGTCAGGCTGCAAGTAAGGTGATTGCACCTTCACAGTACTTGTCACAAGACCTACGGGACAGGTTTGGGCTCATAAATTCTTTTAACCTCTACAAAATTCCAAAAGGTTTTTCCACAAACAATAGTCCAGCAATATAAAAATAAACCCTTTTCCTCAAGTATTTGCTAACTATTACCTGGAATTACCTTTCTACAATGACTAAGTACAAAATCAATTATTTTTCGTAAAAACATTTTTCTTTATAGTTTAAAACAGAAATGGGCATATCTCCTTCAATATTAATACTGAAAGGTACTGTTTAACTTTTTTTTTCACCTTCAGTTTTGAAAACATGCAACTATTTCCTTAATCAAGTTTTCTATGTATTTCATGTGAGACTCCCATTATTAGAATTTAGATCTCCTATTGTTCGGGTTAACTTTTTTCTTTTCTTTCCTTTATGGTGCTGGGGATTGAACCCATGGCCTCATGCATGCTAGGTAAGTACTCTACCACTCTACCATCTCCTGCCTTCATTAAATCTCTTTTGTACTGCTGTTAATCTATTTAATCTATTTAGGTTTTAATTTCTTTTCCTCCCCCAGAGCTAGGGATTGAACCCACCTCTTACACAACTAGGTRGTCACTCTATATATCTGTATATCCTCAGCTTCATATTTTTTAATTGCTTATTTCTGCTGCCTTCAATGATTTTTCAAGAAAATAAGCACACCAGAGGTCTAATCCTTTTAAATAAAATTTAAAAATTAAGCATACTCATTTCAAGTATACCATGTATGCAGTCCTCATATGCTGAAAAAGGCAGTCACACCRGGTTCATTATTTTAAGTATTTCTACATCCAGACAAATGAGAGAGTATAAATTGTTTTTGTTCTGTTTTATTCAAGTTCAATTACTGGCCAGAACTGTTCAGGTATGTTGTTCATCTCACATTCCCAGAGAAGAGTTAGGTTAATCATTTTTAGCAGCTAGGTAGTACCTGGCTATAAATAAACTCATATATGTCATCTGTAGAGGTTATAATAAACTTTTTTTTTAATCAAGAAAATACTCTGGGCTGGGGTTGTGGCTCCGTGGTAAAGCACTTGCTTGGCACATGTGAGGCACTGGTGGCTCGGGAGAGTGAGGGAGGAGGATCAGGAGTTCAAAGCTAGCCTCAGCTAAATAAAGTGAGGCGCTAAATAACTCAGTGAGACCCCGTCTCTAAATAAAATACAAAATAGGGCTGGGGATGCGGCTCAGTGGTTGAGTACCCGAGTTTAATCCTCAGTGCTAAAAAAAAAAAAAAAAAAAAAAAAAACAAAAACCCACAAACAAACAAACCTGTTCTGCTGGGTATGGGCGCTCACTTGTGATTCCAGTGTCTCAGGAGGCTGGGGCAAGAAGATCACAACTTTGAACCCAGCCTCAGCAACTTAGTGAGGTCCTAAGCAACTTAGGGAAACCCTGTCTCAAAAAAAAAAAAAAAGCGGGGGTGGGGGGGTGGGGGGGCTGCAGATGTGGCTCAATGGTGAAATGCCCCAGGTTTGATCCCCAGTACCAAAGACCACCACCACCACCACCACATCTGCTCACTACCTATGCCAGGCCTTGTGTCACATGCCGAAGATTCCTAAGATGCCTRCATAGGCTTTGCCCACATAACCATGAGACACAGTGCAGAAATGAAGACTGGGCTGCATAGCAGCTCTTAAAACAGGAGGAAACTGAGATCATACCCAGGTCTCTGATACCAATTAATAATGCCCTGAAAAGAGCTATGCATGGCGGTACCTACACCTGTTGATTAGTACACTGAATAAAAAGTCACAAAAGCACACTTCTGAGCAAAAGTAAAACAAACCCAATTGAGTAGCTTTCTTAAATACAGTATGAAACAGTATGTATGCTATATGTGTCATAGACCATGGGCTAAAGAATAAAGTATAAAATTTCAGTTTTTAATTCTGCTAGAAAAGGAGAGCTGTATGTCAAATGAACTCTGAGTTCTTCATTAAGGAAGCCTATCATTGCTTCTAACATTAAACAAACAAACAAAACAATGGCTTGCCTCCATGCCTGAACTCCAAATGTAATTATTTGCTCAAAATACCTAAAAAGGAAAAGAGGGCTACTTACTTACAATGTCATTATATTCCTAAAGAGCAAGAAAGAAAGCTTTTTCCTTTAGAAACTGAATTTGACATTTAAAAAATATTTTGACAAGCTGGATACACCTGTAATCCTAGTTATTAGGGAGACTGAGACAGAAGGATCACAAATTCAGAAAGTTCAAAGCCACTCTGGGAAACTTAGTAAGACCCTGTCTCAAAATAAATAAAAATGGCTGAGGATGTGGCTCAGTGGTAAAGCCTGGCATGCATGATGCCTGAGTTCAATCCCCAGCTGGGAGGAAAAAAAAAAAATTTTTTTTTTTTTTTTAAATAGAAGTCTACTGCTTATTGGTCTAGTGATGTTTGAAAACCATGAAGCAGTTCAACATTCTGCTGTTTTTAAAATTCCCTTTTCCTTGCTTATTGGTCTAGTGATGTTTAAAAACCGTGAAGCAGTTCAACATTCTGCTGTTTTTAAAATTCCCTTTTTCCTTTCTCTTAAGACCTCTTCATGTCACAGAAGAGATAGAGTTAATTTTGACAAGGTTAAAGAATATTAAAGTAGAATTAACCCCTGTTTACAAAATGAATTCCTTCATGGGTAGTCTTATGAATTCTGCAATTGAAATTATGGTTTAGAAATCACGGGCTCAAGAGACAGGTGTGGAAGTCACAGCTCCAGTTCCTACTCTGGTAAAAACTTAGCTCTGTAGTTTTGAACAGGTCCCTCCCTCCTCTACGGCTCTCAGCTCTCTCATCTATGAAACACAGGGACTGAGACTAGACAGTGCTGAAGTCCCCTTCAGTGTTTAAATTCTATCTTTCCCTACCTGAACAAGAGGAGAAAAACTAAAAACACAAAAACAGAAGACAAAACAAACAATGTCACTGCCTAGACCTACCAGTCTAGTCATTATTAGAGAGAGTGAAGGTATCTGGCTGCTTGCAGTTTATCCTCCCTACGAGGTAGCAAGCTACCAGGGCTATTACTTAAGCACATAATTCAAGTGGCTTCAATGTCAGAATTTCCCTACAAAGATGATCTAAACTTCATTGAGCTGCAGTGGAAAAATACTTGCCCAGAGCCAGGTTTTAAGGATTTTTTTAGTCAACAATTGGTCTTGATTTTCTCAGGGTAAAATCACAAGATTATACTCTAATATTATCTCAATGACTTTTCCTGAAACTAAGCCTCTGACAGCAGTGAGTACTCTCAACCTACCCTTTTGTAATGTATTCCTTCCAAGAACATCTTGGTCTGTTTATAGATCTCTTGTCCAGTCTTRTGGAAGGTCTTGAGAAACTCGATGAACTCCTTAGACACTCGGTCTGTTTCAATGCTGGTCTGCCGGTTTATGGAAGGACTGGGAGCTTTTGCTTCCTGAATTTCTGCTAGGAAAATAAATAGCAAATTTCATCACACAGAAGATCTATGCATGGAATCATTAAGTATCTAACTTTAAGATAATTTAGATTATGTTTAATCAAAGTTAAACTCAAATTTAAATCATTTAATGTTTAAACATTTGACAACTTTCCTTAAAGTAAGCAGAAAACTATTTTATGAACAGGAAGTAAAAGTAAACAAAGTGACATGATCTAAAAGATACTAAAAAATTGCTCTATAGGATTTTCTTGACCAAAATACAGCATGAACTGATGTATGTATTTATCCATCAACACTGAAAATGTACCACTATCTTAAACGGCTTTCTCAAAGACTGCCTAGTCTGGGCTGGGGATGTGGCTCAAGCGGTAGCGCGCTCGCCTGGCATGTGTGCGGCCCGGGTTCGATCCTCAGCACCACATACAAACAAAGATGTTGTGTCCACCGAAAACTAACTAAATAAATAAATATTAAAATTAAAAAAAAATAGACTGCCTAGTCAACAAGGAAAGTAACCAATAGTAGAAGCACAGAAATATTAGATGACATGGAAAACAGCTTTTCAAATCCCACTGTACTTGGAAAAAGGCAAAGGCTGACTTCTTTACGTGGAAACAAAACTATTTTACCTACCATTCAGTTTTCAAGTCTCATTGATCAAAGTGAAACAAGGCACTCAAAGCAGCATGAAGAACGGGACGGAGCACACATCAAAGAGGTGAGGAAATCGAGCACACTGTCTGATAACCGGGTGCACACTACACTTAAAGGAGAATGGGACTCCACAGAACAGAAACAAGTTGCAGAACAGAAAGCAAGTGCTTTTAGAAGGTGTGAGCTACACCTGGTCTAGCTCACCTGAACTGCCTAAGCTTGAGCAGCACTTTCAAGTCAAAATCTGCAAGGAATTCAAGTCTCTCATACTCCCACAATCTCCATTCATACACAAAAACAAAGGTCAGTAAGCCAGGTGTGGTGGTGCACGCCTGTAATCCCAGCAGCTTGGGAGGTAGAGGCCGGAGGACCACAAGTGCAAGGCCAGCCTCAGCAACTTAGCAAGGCCCTAAGCAACATAGTGAGACCTGTGTCAAAATAAAAAAGGACTGGGGATGTGGCTCAGTGGTAAAATGCCCCTGGATTCAATCCCCAATACCAAAACAACAAAAGAAAGGTAAACCAGCCTCTTACATACGCACATTCTTAGAGTAACTTCTCACCTTGTTTTTTGAACTTTAGTACTTAAACTCTTGGTACATTTTAATGATGTGGTTGTAATAAAATTTTAAGAGAATGAAAGCACAATTCCTATTAGGGTGACTGGTTTATTCTGACGAGACAAGACAATTATCCAAAAAAATATACTACTAACTATGGCAAACTGAAGAGTCCACCACTTACTATTACATCATTGGTTATTAAGCTAAGTAGTATTGACTGACTTCAGTGATGTTGAAACTAAAGCAAAAGTATTCCCCCCACCCACTGAATTATGAGTAGGTAGCACAACAACACTGTATTTTATAGTTAGTTCTTCCTCCAAGTCAAGTATTTGTCTATATTTAGATTATCAAGTGTTTCATATGACTCAAAATTCAGAAATTCTAAAAGAAAAGAATTCAATTACATTATTCAGGAAAAAAGAGATGGGTATGGTGGTGCACCCTATAATCCTAGCTATACAGGAGGTAGTAGAATTGCAAATTTGAGGCCAGCCAGGGCAACTTGAGAAACTGTGTCCCAAGCTTAAAAAATAAAGGGGATGGAGGTGCTGGGGATGCAGCTCCATGATAGAGCACCCCTGGGTTCGATCCCCAGTAAGAAAAGAAGCACACAAAACCCAGCATGGTGGCACATGCCTGTAATCCCAGTGGCTTAGGAGGCTGAAGCAGGAGGATCATGAGTTCATGCCAGCCTCAGCAACTTAGCAAGGCCCTAAGAAACTCAGGCAGATCCAGTCTCTAAAATAAAATACAAAAAWGGCTGGGGATGTGGCTCAGTGGTTTAGCGCCCCCAAGTTCAATCCCCGGCCCCTGCCCTCCACCAAAAACCCAGTGTATGTATGGCAAAGAACACTGTAAGTCAAAAGTTAGAGAAAACTGAAAAAAATATCTGCAAGCAACATTACAAACTAAGGGCTACTCTCCTGAATGACTTCTAGAAAGAGACAAAGATAAATAAATCCAGTAGTCCAACAAGAAAGAGAAAGAATTCCAAGACAGTTGTGCACAGAAAGGAGTCACAGATGGATTTTTTTTTTTTTTTTTTTTTTTTTTTGAGACAGGGTCTCACTAAATTGCCCAGGCTGGCCTTGACCTTGCAATCCTCTTGCCTTAGCCTCCTGAACAGCTAGGCTTGAAAGTGTGAGCCACTATGCCCAGCTAGGTGGATTTTAACATAGGCAAGATGTGCAATTTCACTCAGGGTACTGTAAAACATTCTTAAGCTTAAACTTTGGCTGTCTCAAAATAACAACATAGAAAGAGCTGAGGGTATGGCTCAGTGGTTAAGTGCCCTTGGCTCAATCCCCCATATAGAAAAAAAGCAAAAGAAAAATAAAATTCCACTGTATCCTGTCACTTTAAAGATACCATATGTTTGAAATTGAAGAAGGGGAAAAAGGCAAAACATCCAAGTGATCAAACCAGCTTAAGTGACTTTATCAATATCAGACAAAAATCAATCTCAGAACCTGGACCACAACACTTAGAATAAAGAGGCGTTTCGTGGTGAGAAAGGGGTTAATTCTTCACCATGCAGCAACCCTAAATGTATGYATGCACTGAATAACATAGCTTCAAAATCCGAAGCAAAACCTGGCAAAGTGAAGGGGAGGCAAGCAAATCCAAATTAAGACTGGAGATCCCAACATGCTGCCTAAGCGATGGAGCAGGAATAAGAGCAAGAAAACCATGGGGAACCGAGCATTTGCATCTGACCACAGTGCTAGCCACAGAGCCCTCTACCTGCCCTGACAATGGCTTACCCAGGGTGAAGGCTACTGTGTGCTGAGCACCAGCACTTCTCATCCATTGGGGGTTCCCAGTGGTGTCCACAAGTGAGCAGCTGAGGCTCCTGGTGTGCGGGGACTGAACCATGCTGCTGTTGCTGCTGCTGCTGCTTACACGGCAGGGGCTGGAGCAGAACTCAGCTCTGCACTAACTCCAAAGCCAGGCAAGGTGCAGAGACCCAACCACCGGCTTCACTGTCTTACTTGTGCATACTCCCCTCTGGGAAATGCCTTCCCAAAAGAAGGCATTTGTTTGTTAAAAAACAAAACAAACAAACAAAACCACCTCTTTTAAAATGTAAATGCAGGGGTTCAGGGTAGAGTAAGGTCCTGGTGATCACTGGCACCAAAAAAAAAAAAAAAAAAAAAAAGTAAATAAAGATTAATTCAGTTAACTCTTTATAAATTACTAAAATTGACATGTGGCTGTTTCTCTATCCTAAAAGTCAATCGTACTAACAGAAGAGAAATCTGGTTACAGGCACAGGTCACGGCAGGGAACAGGTGAGGTAGTTTTGAACAACCAAGGGTATTTGGTGTGTGAGATCAAAGAAGGGAAGAAGAAGGTTAGACGCAAAAGAACAACTTCGCCCACGTCACAGCTTTCAGCTCTGGCCAGGGYCCAAGTGGCAACACTGGCCCCTCAACTTAAAACCATCGGGTGCTGTGAATGAAGAAAGGAAGCTTGCATTTCAAGTACACCCAGTCGACCAGGTTTAGGAAGCACTCCAGGCCCCACTGTAAACAGTTTCAAAGCCTTCCCAGCAGGACAGCCAGCGGGTGAGTCACAGTGAGAACTACGCCCAGCCACCACCCAGCCCAGAGAGAAGCCCTCTCAGGATCCCTACTCCCAACYACTATCCTCGGGGTTAGACAGGCACTGTCTTCACTTCCTTCATTACACCCCAATGCACTGAGGCCAAAGAGATTAGGTCACCTACGTACCCAAGTACCCAAAGAAGTGAGTGAGTCAGTGGGGGAAGAGCGGGGGTTTGAATCCAGACTTGCTCTATCCCCAAGCCTGAGTTCTACATGGCCACATCACATAAAATTTCTTGGTTTTTTGTTTTTTGTTTTGGTACTAGGGATTGAACCCAGGAACACTATCCACTGAGTTACATCCCAGCCCTTGTTATTTTTGAGACAGGATTTGGCTAAATTGCTAAGGCTGGTTTTGAACTTGTAATTCTCATGCCTCCAGCCTCCCAAGCCACTAGAATCACAGGTATGGCCACCATGCTGGCAACTCACTCATTACTCACTAATTACTACAATGTGTGTTTATTCCTACTTAAGTCAACCAACACACCAGGTGTGGCAATGGGCACCTCTAGCCCGTCTACTCAGGAGGCTGAGGCAGGAGGATTATTGAGCCCAGGAGCTTGGGGCTAGCCTGGGCAAGAAGAGAAATGCTGTCTCAAAAACAAAATAAAAATAAAACCAAATAGTATCAACTCAGTACCTAAATCTTTTCTATACAAAGTAACCCTGTAAAAGCAAAACCCTCACTTAAAGTTTATTTCAAGAATAGTTTTGAAAGAATGTAGACAGCCTGGAATGTCACTGTTAAAAAAGAGCATAACCAGTAGTAAAGTTGGTCAACAGCACTTCTAGTCTAGTGAAAAGATATCTTATATGGTTTTGTTGTTGTTTTGTGGTGCTGGGGATCGAACCCAGGGCCTTGTGCATGTGAGGCAAGCACTCTACCACCTGAGCTAAATCCCCAGCCCCATATTTTATCTCTCTTAAAAATGGACTTAGGGGCTGGGGTTGTGGCTCAGTGGTAGAGTGCTTGCCTAACATATGTGAGGCCTGAGTTCGATCCTCAGCACCACACAGAAATTATATCCATTAACAACTAAAATCTTAAAAAAAAAAAAATGTACTTAGGCTGGGCATGATGATACATGCCTGTAATCCCAGCAGCTCAGGAGAATCACAGGTTTGAGGCCAGACTCAGCAATTTAGTGAGGCCCTAAACAATTTAGCAAAACACTG